TGTGTCTCCCCTGGGGACCAAGACTCTCTTTTAAAAGACTTGAAGAAAAGTTGCTTAGTACATGAGACAGGAAGGAGAAGGAGGAGGAAAAGGAGAAGGAGAAGGAGAGGGATAAGGAGACAGAGGAGCAGAATGAAGAGAAAAATAGGAAGGGAATATACTAAGGGCACTGTAAGGAATGAAACACCATAATACGTTGCGTGGGTGGAGAGACCTTAGCCTTCTGATAAATAATCTGATAAATAGAGCAGTCAGATCACACTACCTTAATTCTACTCTCATCTGATGTTTGTTTCTGTGTTAATAGCCAGGTTTCTGCCCTGACCTTAGCATCTAACCTTCTCTTGGGTCGAGCTGTCCAGTACCATAGTCATCTCTTTGTATCATCAGGGAATTGCTCAGTCCTAAGACCCCCACTCCCTACTACACTGAAGGATGTTCACACCTTTGTATGAAATGGCACAGTGTTTGAACATAGCCTACACACACACATCTTCCTATACTTCAAACCATCTCTTGATTTCTTATCAGGGCTGATACAGTATGATGTAAATTTCTGTGTAAATTGCTGCCATGCCATATTGTTGAGGGAATAATTATAAGGGTGAAAATCTGTACATCTTTGATGCAGCCACATTTTTTTCCAGTATTTGTTTTGGTCTCCCTTCATCTGAGTCCGCAGATGTGGGATTCAAATACAGAGGGCCAACTACACCTGCTCCAGTATTACCCTCTTTGCTTCTTTCCTTCTCAGGGTTCACGTCTACAAGCCCAATTCCTGACCAACTTCATCATCAAATTCTTGTTTTGTCTGCTCCGTTCGTCTGCCTCTTCTGCTCTGAATTCTCTTGCCAAGCTGCCCACGTGGTGGAGTAGAACTGCTTCACCATCTTGGATTCCCATTCTCACACCCATTCCTTGGCAGTGAACCACACTGTCCAGCCTGCTTCCTTCGCCTACTCAGAAACTCAATGTGAGTTCCTATTATTCCTATTATCCTCTAGCATATATTCTGTGAAGTTGTCTCCCATTCCTAATAGGATTAGTATACTTATTAATAAATCATTTCTGAAGGCATTGCATAATCAGAAAGGGCAAAATTATCTTGTCAGGGCAAAGATTTTATAGACCCTTCAAGCTTAGAAAACTCTTACAAGAGGGCTTAGTTTGAACTTCTAAACTCCCTTTGTGCTTAGTTTTGCCATTTTATCATCAGTTTTTATAAATTTTTTTCTCCCTCTTACTGTCTAGTGAATAAGTTCAAAGAGAACTGGAGCTCCTGCATGTATTCACCATTCAGAACATTGTCCTGGAGTAGTGCTAAATGTGAACTAATTTCCTGCTGGGTCAAATGAATCAGATTAACAGACTCAAGTCCAAGGTTAATACAAATTTAGCTAGTCAGTAGCAGCACGGGAGCCAGAACCCAAGATTCTCTTGAGCTTTCAAAACTGCAAATATGCGTATCAGTCTACATGTTAATCTATATATCAGTCTATCTATTGCTTATATTGGTTATATATTGTTATGTGTTGGTCTGAAAACAGTTATATGTATTTATATTTCACCCTTCAAAGTATAGTAAAGGATTTTGCATATGATTTCTACTTTATCATTTATATTCCACTGAGGGAGAAAGTATTAAAGCAGGAGAAAAAGAATAACTTAAATCACCATAGATTCAATCATCTCTGATTGGAAAATATTTGGTTGAAAAATAACATCTGAACTGAAAATGTATATATTTTTCTTATCATTCTCTCCTAAACAATACTGCATAATAGCTATTTACATAGAATTCATATTAGGAATTATAACTAGTCTAGGTGACTCAAAGTACACAGGAGGAGATGCATAGGTTCTGTGCAAATACGGCACCACTTTATGTAAGAGATTTGAGCATCCCCAGATATCCAAAAGGAATTGGTTTCAGGATTCCCGTAGCTCAATACTCTTTGTTTTGAAGGATTGCTGAAATTTTAAAAATAATAAAATCACCTCATCACATGCTACATTAACTTCCTACTCTTATGGGGTTTTAGACCAGTAGTTGAATTTCCTGATTCCCACACCACAGCCAAGAAAATGCTGTTGCCTTTGTCAATAGCAAGGAAAACATGGATAGCTGCTTTGTAGGCAGTTCATGTGTTCATCTTTCAGCATCTATTATGAATCTATTATGAATCAAGCTATACTTGGCATATCTGTGAAAGAGTGTGTGAAGCTTTCTTGCAGAACAAAAAAACAATAACACCCATATTCATGGATTGTGTTATTCTGGGATAACCATATGTGACTAGTGTGTCTTCAAAATATTTTATTCTGTTGATATATATAAGGTTTGAAAATGTTGTTTTCTCGGCCTCTGATGTTCAAGGAGGCTAAAGAGTTGGCAGTCTGGATTGTTTTTCTTTTCTTATTCATATGCAAAAACTTATATCAAAAACAACCTTCCAGCAGAGCATGTTAATTGTGTCTTTTTAAAAGCAAAATATGTGCCTTGTATTTTACGGATATAAAAAGCCCTGGCCTTTAGCTGAAAGTGGCTGGTAATAAATTTATCAACCCAATAGATCTTGACAGGTGCCCAGTTACTGAAAATGTTTAATAGTACCATGGAACTGAATACATATGTTTTTGTCTCTGGACTAGGCCCGACATATCAGCAGAAGGATGTGTGCATCCTAGCAAGATGTAGTTGTATTTTATCTATTAATTATACCCAAGTCAGTCACAGGAATGATTTAAATCAGCTTACTTAGACTTAGAGTGTAAAATGAAGAAAAAAACAACAGACGAGGTAAGTGAGACAAGTGAAGCCAGAGAAAAATGAGAGCAACCTCTAACATTCATAGGGAGCACAAGATAGTCTTCACTCAGTGCTACGATTTCTCCCCCTAAGAATTATGCACAGGTATATCATGCTTTTGGAGATGACTCAAGGTAAACAAATCTGGACTTTTTGCCAGGGAACTTATGAGGCTAATATTTGTATTTCAAAAGTATAGTTCAGTTTATAAAACAATTCACCACAGTTCCTTTAAATGGTGAGGGTTTTGCATTAAAAATACACATTCACATTGTTGTGGATGAAACTTCAAATTCTCTACATATGGCACTTTTGGTCTTTTTGGCCATAAGTCCGACATAAATAAATAATCACCATGGTATAAGATGTGAATGCTCAAGAACCATTGTAAGCTATGGGACCAACAACTTCCCTGGAATTACTTCATTGAAAAACATGAATAAGGGGGATGAAACCATTCCTGTCTGCTCAAGCTAGGGCTCTCTGTACCTGGTTATCTTTAGGAATAAAGGCTGGTGCACCAGTGCGGGAGCCACACACCTGTAATTCCTTGTCCCAATTCCTTCTCTATCCTCATCCCATAAAACATTCCCATCTTGATGTTCACAGATTTTCACCTGCCTGGTGGCTGCCAACCTCACTAGCCAGCACCTGGCTCAGCACCCTAAGTGTAGTAGGCATCCATAATAAACCCTGAATTTTGCTTGAAGAAAAGAATAAGAAAGTCTTTATTGACTTATGAATTCATAATTCTTATAGGCAAGAAAGGTTCAGAGTCACTCACATAGAGTTGTGCAGTGGTAAGGTCATTTGTGGGGGCTATTGCCACCTCAGAATACACCTATCTATTCTGAGATAGCTCAGAAGAGAGGTGAAAGCACTAGAGTCAGGGTGAGAGGGCAGGGAGATGGAACAAGAGAAAGAGACAAGTACCAGGTGACAAACAGGTGACACCAGAGGGCCTGAATAAAACAATTCCCGGGTAGATACGCAGAGTAAACGATAGTCACACTATGGCCAGAGAGGGGCTTAAGGAAGGTTTGGGGATTGCCGTTTGATTTTACCATATTTGTTCTTCAAGTAGCAGAAATGTGGGGCTCCCTCAACATGGATTTAATCTTAAATGTTAAGAGTTGTGCCAAACAGTGATTAATCAACCCCTCACTCAGAAATTCCAAGATACCTCAATTCTGAAATCTTCCAAGTAGGATCTTGGTCTATATTATTCTCCTTTTGTGTTTTTTTAATATGATTTTTTATTTCTTTGTCTGTATATCTGTATGTGTGTATGTATGTACATATATAAAAAAAGAAAAAAATCTCATTCAACAAAGAAAGCTTCTGGGGGCAGGGTATGGCTCAGTGGAATAAGTGCTTCCCTGGCAAGCGCAAGGGCCTGAGTTCAATCCCCGGTTCCGCCAAAAAAAAAAAAAAAGCTTCTATTTTGGATTTTTACAAAATCAATATAAATTCTAAATTTGAGTTTAGAAATTGCTTGGGCCTACCCTTTGGAAGTAGTTCTTATTATAGTTTGAAAATAATGTGATCAACTTGAAAGGAAAGCACTGAAGTTTTGCTCTTAAAAGAACCAGCAGGATATTAATCCACTTCTTATTTTTCCTTATAAAATCTTTAGATTGGTAACTCCAAAGACATCTGTGCCTTTAAATCTTTATTACTACTTAAAATTTGGGGTTTTTTTGTAATTTGTTTTTGCATTTATTGTTGGATAATGATGTACTACAAAAACATGTAAAACACAAGCTGTCTCTTATTTTGCTGGGTGATAAATTGCTCAATTAAAAACAGGTTATGTTACATGCCCTTGGTACCCTGAGCTGATACTGTATTGTTCAGAATAGTAAATGCCATCCTAAATAATTTCACGTGCATCTGTTACATCAGTGAGTACTAATTAAACATGCATTTTGTGGAATACTTTACAAAAGATCATTTTGCAGCTTTCGGCACTATTTATGTAACACTTAGGAATCTGCAGGTCGCAAATTCTACTATAAATTTTTCTTCCTAAAATTATTAATAGAAATTGAAGTCCCTCTCTAATAGTGTCTTTTGAAATGTGTTTTAAAATATTCTAGTCCGAATTCTAAAATGAATAAAAAATATTATCAATATGTACCCTGTTATGTATTTCCCAGAAGACTGATAAGCCAACAGAAATACTTCTTATTAGCAATCAGCGGTTTTGTTTTAATGATGCTCCACAAACTCCCCTTGGAAATCCATGCAGTCCTCGAAAATGGTGGTGAATGTGATGGGGATGGATGACATGTTTCCTTGGTGGCGGGAGGTTATGGCCTCGCCCAAGAATTCCGTATGGTTCAACACATCCCACATATTGATCCGATCAGTTGGTGTAGGGCTCCTTCCCACTGCCTTGTGCTTCTTTGTCAAATGGAGCCCAAACTTCAAACCTGCAGCACTGTTTCAGGAATGCCCAAGTTCTTTTCTTCTGCTTTCCATGTGGTGCTATACAGGATGGTGGTCCGACATTCAAGTGGATCGTTCACTACCTACTTGTAAAAAGGTATTTTTGTAGCTTTAGACACATTCCTCAACCCTTTATTTATCTTACTTTATTTCTTTTATATTATTTTTATTTTTTAAGTATAAAAAATAGTAATAAAAAAGCACTAGAAACAATACAAAATTTCACTAAACAAAATAGTAGGAATTCAACAATGGTTGCTGTATTGCATGATGTTATCTTCAAATTAGTTGTTTAGGTCACCATATCTAAACCAATTTTGCACATTTATATCTGGTAACTTGTTTCCTTCTTGAAGGAAAAGTAAATTAATATTTGTCTGAATAACATGCCTATGAAATGCAAAAAGACCCTCATGGAATAAGCTTATGATTCTTTACCCAAAATGAAGTATTAAAGTCTCTAAAAAGTCTCAACAAAGGAAACTGTTTGGCTTTGCTGTCCCCCAAATTATTTGATATTGGAACCTTTTTCCTGCTGATATGTTGCCATCCCTCCTCACTAGTGGGAAGCCATGTTGAGACGGCTACTATGGGTAATCTTCAAAAGACTTTGCTAGCTATAATGGACACTATAAGTCATTCTTGCCAGTCTTCTTTTTCTTACAAAAGGCTTGAACATCGAGGCCTCAGATCAGTTAAATTAAATGACCATGTAGTCAATAGTTTAAGAAAATGTTTCTTGGGCTTGGGAAATTTATCTGCCCACCAGTCACATAGTTCATGGCATTTAACACACTCACATGCTGAGTACAGTAAGCTAAGCTTTTAAAGAATGACTAATACTCACTGTGATAGGACAGACGCTTGGGGTTTCAGCCAAATCTTGTAAATTTAGCAAAGAATATCAGAGCAACTCCTTCTGTTACCCTAAATGTCAGGGACTCTTACATTTTCATGAAGAACACGCAGGTCTTGGTTTTTAAAGGTCTTACACAAGCACATCCATTGAAAATCATAAGGTTTGTCTGCACTGAGAAGAATACTGCAATCAGGGACTAGTGAAAAGTTGACCTGAAGTTCCAGCAGGCTTTTCATTCCTAAGTGTGGGTGAAATCAATACCTAGCACTCTAAGAGAACTCCAAGTAGCGTATCTCAGACCAGTGAGACCACTTTCCCACAGACAACAAATTTTAAACAATATATCATGTAATTTCTTGCTCTACTAAGTTAAATGCAGCAAACTATTTGTTATCTGAGACACTGAAAAGCATGTTGATCTAAAGGTCAGACTTAATGTTTTTGTCCCAGACACTAAATTATATCATAATCTAGTTACAGTCATCCTTGGTACTGAGGATTGTTCTCAGGACTTCATTCAGATACATGGATCTGCTGATAATCAAGGCCTTGGTACAAAATGGTGTTGTATTTGTATTTGGTGTACATCCTCCTGTAAACTGTAAATCATCTGTGTCTCACTTACATTACCCAATACAATGAAAATTCTATATAAATAGTCATTAAGCTCAATTGTTTAGGAAACAATGACAAGGAAAATCTCTGCACCTGTTCAGTACAGATACAATAATTTTTACAACATATTTTCAGTCAATGATTGCTTGAAACTATGGATTTAGAACTCAGAGGTATAAAGGGTCATACTCTGTACTTCATGGCTTTGCCTACTCAGTTCTTGGTTCTGGTCCAGCTTGAAGTCTGGCAATGTTCTGCAGAAGATAGACTTCATTCTAAAGCTTCCATATACCCAGCGTTTATGTACCTGTCCTTACTGGCACCCTAAGCAAACCTGTTTCCACTTATCTGTTGAGTTTTCTCCCATCATTTTTCTCTTGAAATCTAACCTAGCTGTGTTCAGGGTGCATCTCAGTTACTGTTCTCTTTTACTGGGACAAATACCTAACGCTCAAAATGAAGGAAGGAAAGGTGTGTTTAGCTCACAGTCACTGGAGGTTTCAGTCTATACTCAGCTGGCTCCTAGGTGGAGTGGCACAGGGCAGAGAACAACTTTTCATAGCGGCAACAAAGAGCAAGAGCAAAATGGAGGAGTAGCAACAATGGCTGCAGAGAGGAGGTCTGTCTCTCTGTCTCACTTATGGTACATTCAGGCTATCAGCCCCAGGCAGGGTGTAGCACTCACAACCAAAATCCCAGCAGTACTAAAACCCATAATCCTAGTAGATCATGAGTTAATCTCAAACTCCAGAAGTCCCCGCCCCATGACTACATGAGGCTTTAGGGGACAACTAGACACAGAGCATAACAGGGTGGTTCAGCTGTTTCCAGTTAGCCTTCAAGTTAACATTCCCATTAATGTTCAACTTTATCTTATTAATCAGCTTTCTGTCACTATGACAAAAATCCCTAAGGCAAATAACTGGGAAGGGAAGGTTTGTTGTGGCTCATGGTTTTAGAGGTTTCAGTATACGGTTTCTTGTCCTCTTCACTTTTGGTCTGGGAGAACAGCATATTACAGTAGGGGGCATGTGAAAGAACAAAGCCTAGCTTACTGCAGGGCAGTCAGAAAGCAAAATGAGAGGAGGGGATGTGGGTCCCTTCGAAGGCACACTCTCAGTGATCTACTTACTCCAATTAGGGCTAAAATTTCTGCCAACTCCTAAGAGCACCATCAGCTGGAAACCAAGACACATGAATCTGGGGGGAAACATTCAAATTCCCAATGCCTTGCCTCCCCTAGTTCTGGTTTGCCACCTGAATCCAGCTACAGCTGTAACACCCTACTGCATAAATGGGCCCATTTCAGTGTACCTGGGCACAGAACAGCAACAAAATGTTGTGTATACAAAAGTGGTCTCAGCGTGGTGCAGTTAGGCTGAGCCATTTTGCAGCTAAATGGCCACTTCTGAGCACAACTTGTACACAGCCCACTTGGGTCTAGTTTCATAGCTTGCCTTCTGTGCAAACTCAGCACCATGGATTACTCTTTTCCATCTTGGACACAACTTTCTTGACTGCCTGAGCCCAGAAACTCTTTTCTCCTGAATGTAGATTTCTCCTGCTATCTACAACAAGTGTCAGACATTAACCGCTGTCTGACATCGCATTATTTGATTGTCCTGTTGCCCTTATCTGTGTACAAGTATCATCTTCCTGACTGGATGACATCAGCAACAGTGTATAAAGTGTTTTATACTTCCCACAACATGCAGTAAAAAGTGTCAAGGAGAGGCTTTCACTCATTCCGACAGCTATACAGTGTGATGTGGGAAGTCAGAAACATGTCTTTGAGTGAGTTGGAAATTGAGGTGGAATATAACTATTGATAATTGGTTGATGGTGTGGAAGAAGAGGTTTAAAGGCAGAATGAAGACAATGAATAAAGGAAGTTCACTTTAGCTGTTCCAAGTGTGGCTTAAACTATACTCTACCATTTACTTTGTTCCAGGGGATTTGAGTATTACCTCCCTTGCTGTATAATTAGCTACACAACTACATACATAACAAATTACACAAAAAAGTCTTCCAAGAATTCCTTATGTCCCACAAAACAATTTCAACAAAGGCCCTAGGCATGAAGATGTGGAATCCCTCTTTTTGAGTCTCATTGCCATTTTGATAATTCATAAGGATATTCAATTTATGTGGTAGAACGCGGGTCAAAATAAAAATCCCATTCTTACTCTTCCAACTTGGTGTGAGGCACAATAGCTTTTGGGAAACTGAGCCTCCTGTTAGAGTGTGGAGGCCTATGTACAATGGTTTAAAAGTCAAAGACAAGGGCTGGCGAGATAGCTTAGGCAAGCGCAGTAGACCAGGTTTTGATCCCTGGGGCACTGCATGCTGTGCAGGCCTCATCCCTAAGCGTGCTGAGCCAGTGATTGAGTCCAGGTGTGGTGGTGCACACCTATAATCCCAGCACTGGGTAGGCTGAAAACAGTGAGACCATAGATATAGATAGATAGATAGATAGATAGATAGATAGATAGATAGATAGATAAATAGAGTACATGGTACAGCTGAGTGCCACTCTGTGGAAAGGTGGGCTTGTAAAAACTTCAGGGTGTGTCCTCATTCACCTTGTTTAGAAGATCTGCTACCATACAGCTCCCAGCTCTGGCCCCAAGCTGAAAGAACCATGAAAGATGTAGATTTTGAATCAACTCAGGACATGGAGGGGGCCATGACAGTGTAACTAAAGACATGAAGGGGACTTTGAGACCTAGAGATGGCATCAGAACATGGCAAGAATGACCCAATAAGTGCACTCAAAGTGAGAGGCAGCATTTTGAGAAAGATTCATGACAATGTGTAGATTTTTTGACTTAAACATTCACCATGGTGCTCAATCCCACTTCACACATGGCTCTGCACTATGCCCGAGGTATGGCTTGGGAAAGTATGCATCATCTATCTGTGCCCTGGCTCCTGATCTGCAAAATGGGGCATGAATGTTTTCCCTACAAAGGGTGGATTTCAGTCCACTACTGCTGTACTAACTGTGTGCACCCAAAATCAGTTACAGCCCTGCATCTAATAAGGTCCTTGCTGTTTCTCCATGTCCTTTTTCCAGGAGATCTTTTACAGTTGAATTAAGAGCACCTCTCCAGTGGCCTTTATCCCAAATGCAGAGGTCAGCTCCTTTTTAAATTCATATCCAGGATCTCTAGGCTCCACTGGTTCACTGGGTATTCAATCCCCAGCCCCCTCTCCTATGACTGATTCAGAGCATGAGACAGAGCCACAGGCTCCAGCTTCCCTGACAGGGGTCTGAGACAAGGATATGAAGATTCTGTACTCTATAAAATTCTATCCAGAGGTCATCTAAGTGAACTAACTGTCCACCTGGCCCTTACATTCCCTTCTACAGAAATGGCACATGCTCTGACCTTCCAAGGCAAGTCATTATGTTTCCAGATTGCTTTGATGGCTAAGCTGGAAGCTAGGCATTTTTACCAGTGTGATTCCAGTGCTATTCATTGCTTCCATTCAGAAGTCTAGGGACCTGGGAGAGAGCTCAGTGGAATAAGGGCTTGCTTAGCAAGCACAAGGTGCTGAGTTAGATCCCTGGTACCATTAAAACAAAACAAAACAAAACAAAACAGAAGTCTAATCATCCTTCTGTGGACACTTATACACTTATATAAGGAAGCAGTTTTGTCCAGGAATGGTGGCACATGCCCTATAATACCAGTACTCTGGGAGGCTGAGGCAGGGAGTCACACAATATAGTCTGGCCTGGACAACTTGAGGATGTAATGAGAGCATGTTTAAAAAGAAAAAATGAGCAAAGGGCTAGACATGTAGCTCCATGTGAAGCTCCCACATTCAATCTCCAGTACTGTAATACTTACATGCATATATACACATATATGTACATATACATATATACACACACATACATATATACATACTCTATTTCTCCCAAAAAATAAGACCTATTGGAAAACAAGTTCTAGTGTAATTTTCCATATCTTCTAAAATGCTAAAACTTTTTCCTGCATATATCTTACTTTCCAGGAAACAGTACATACACAAAATTTTAGAAGTTTTATTCTGACAGATTATCTTTATTTGTTATTTCTCATAGTATCTAATCAATATTTTATTATCCAGTTTTTCTCTTTAAACATCCTTAGTTGATAGCTAATAAAATGCCTCACACCAATAATCTTTAGCTAATAGTCTGTCCACTTCTCTAAAAACAAAAAGTATACCTTGACTTACATGTTTTATGTGATCTTGGGCCTATTAGTCTGATTTTCAATCTGTGTAGAGGACAAATAAATTCATAAGGTTTTCAAAGATAAATTAGTGCATCCAAGGCTGGAAAATTAAAATGGAGATGGAGGAAAAAGAGGAGAAAGAATTTAAGTACATTACATATGTGTACCAATACTTTAAAATGGGAACAGCAGTAAATCTGAAAAGGATTACTGTGAGTGATTCTGTGAAATGCTTAATGAAAGACAAAATACAGACTAAGGACAAAGTTCCAAAGTCTAGCTCATTTCCTAACCTACAAGCTTGCTTACGTTGGCCATGAAAGTGAT